TCAAATTCTATGAAATGTCTGTGTCAAGAAGTCTTTAATGGAATAAAAATTATTGGATCGTAGCCATGACATCAGCTTACGCTTAAATAGAGCACTACTATTTGACATTTTGATATCATAAGGCAATGCATTAAATATCCTCACACACATGGCTCCGCATTGTTTCTGGTAGAAACTTAATTTGGTATAACTATTATAAACTAATCTGTCGGGGCATCTTACATTGCGATTGTGCACGTCCCGTGTTTTTTTAAAAAGTTTCTTATTATTTTTTACAAAATTAGATACCTCAAAGATGTACATACAAGGAAGCGGTAATATGTTAAGAGACTTAAATAGCGGACTACATGATTCTCTAGGTCCTAAGCAACACATTGCCCGTATGCATTTTTTTTGTGCTATAAATAATTTACTTATATCTGTAGAATTTCCCCAAACAACAAGTCCATATCTAAGTATGGATGCTACGTAACCATGATAGGCTGCTAAAGTTGTCCACATAGCGCATGTATCACGCAACCTTCTTAAAACATAAACATAACGCTGTAGCCGATTCAGTACGGTTTGGATGTGAAGTTTCCACTCAAACTTATCATCAATAGTTACACCTAAAAATTTTGCTTCTTGTACTTCCTGTATAATATGTTCGTTGTATTGAATATTCAGTTTTAATTTATTGTGTCTAATAGTTCCAAATTGAATAAAATTAGTTTTATTAAAATTAAGTGTCAAATTATTGCTGTCGAGCCAATTAGCCACTGATGCTATAGTGTTATTTATATCAGATTCGTAATTTAATACATTGTCTTTATACGGAATAGTTATAGCCATGTCATCTGCAAATAATACGCATCTATGTTGTGTCACATCAGGTAAATCATTAATGTAGAGCAAAAATAGTACTGGACCAAGCGTGCTACCTTGAGGCATGCCGCATGCATTAACCCGATAAAGTGATTTATTAGACACCACCACATTTTTGTTTACACATTTAATTTCTACCGCTCGGCTCCTGTTACGTAATAAGAGGTTAACCAGTCAAGTGCTAACCCTCTAATCCCAAGATTTTCTAGCTTTTGGAGAAGCTAATCATAAGAAACGAAATCAAAAGCGCGGGTCATGTCAAAGAATATACTACATGTTGGTGTTCCTTTATTTATATTTTCTACTACTTCTTGTACTAAATGGAATATTGCCAATAAAGTAGATTTATTTTCTTGGAACCCAAATTGTTCTGGCTTTATTATGTTAAATTTAGTAGTAAAGTCGACCAGCCTTTTTTTCATTGATTTCTCGAAAACCTTGGAAAGCACTGGGATCAATGTGATAGGACGGTAATTAGCCATATCAGTTTTCGTACCTTTTTTATGTAGGGGTTTAACAATTGATATTTTTAGCAATTCAGGAAAAATGCCGTTTTCAAAAGATAGATTTACTAAATAAGTTAGTGGCTTAATTAGTTCATCAGCACAATATTTGATGACCCTAGTAGATATTTCATCATATCCTGTTGAATTTGTGTTTCGTAATGATTTTATTATATTATGTATTTCTTTTAGGCTGCACAGGTTGTAAATAAATACTATTTGTCAATTGAGTTTTGTTTGTGTTCTTCGTTACTTTTATATTTGAGTTTGTTAAGTCTATTAAATAATTATTAAATTCATTAGCAATAGAGTTTGGACTAGTTACTGAATTATTGTTTATTATAATTTCTTTTATAAATTGTTCATTATTAAGATTATTAACTTCTTTTTTTACTATTTTCCATGAAATTTTTGCTTTGTTTTTTGCGTTATTTAGAAGTTTATCATTGTGCAGCTTTTGAGCTAATTTTAGACACTGGCGTAGTATTTTGGCATATGATCTATATTGTTGTTTTTTTAATTTTGATTTTTTGGCGTAATAAAGGTAACGCAGTATTCTCTTAGTCTTACAACTTTGCTTGATACCTTTGGTAATCCATTTAGGTTTTCTATATTTGTTTGATATTTTAATAAATTTAAAGGGAAAATTTAGGTTATATAATAAGGTTAGGGTTTCATGAAAGTTATGCATAGACTTATTTAAGTCGCGTTCTTTCAATACCTCTAAAAATGAAAGTTCTCTTAAGCAATTCCGAAACCTATTCAAATTTTCGCTACAATAGTCCCTGATCCTTAAAAAGTATTCGATGGGTTGCTCAATTTTTTTAATCACCGGTATGTATAACATTTGAGCCGTATTGTGATCTGATAAATGTAGATGATCTAATTCCGCAGTAGCGTCGTCAATATTACTGATTAAATGGTCAATACATGTGTGAAGTCTAGTCGGTTCAGTAACGTGCAATGTCAAATTATAATTTCTAAGTATGTCCAAGAAGATTCTAACGTTTTTAGATAATTTTGTCTCTAAAGTATTAATATTAAGGTCACCAGTTATAATAATTTTAGTTTTTGATTGCTTTGTATATTTGTGTAGTACTTCATCTAACTTTGAAAAGAAAATGTTTATATTTGAACTCGGAGTTCTATATACACATATTATACAAACATTGTGTGATAATAGCCTAACACCACAACATTCAAATGCTGTGTCCTGAGCATAGCTTTTTAGGTCTTCTATTTTTTCATATTTAATATTTTTGTTTATTAGAATACATGTACCACCTCTACTTTTCAAATTTTGCCTGCAGTAAGACGTTGCTAAATCATAACCAGTTACAATTATACGATTTTCATTACCAAATTTAATCATTGTTTCTGATAGACAAATAATGTCTGGACCTTTTTGATTTGAATGTAATTCAGAAATTGCAACATCCAGTAACGATTTTTTAGAGACGTACCCAGCTATGTTTTGGTGCATTAATTTTATGTAATTGTTTTTTGTATTTTTAACGAAAAAAAGTGTTATTTAGGCATGAAAAAGACAAATGTGTGCTTTGTGGAACCGTAGTATTAGGCTCGTTAGATAAAGTGTTTTCCAGATTGTATAAATAATAATAATGCGTGATTTCCTGTATTAATTCATTCAAATTTTCAATAATAATTTTAAAACCAAAATTCCTTACGAAACCTTTTGTGGTATACATCTTTGTATAGTATTCTAATTTTTTGTTACTATCTAATAAATAAACATATTCATAGTACTTATTGTCTTGATACAAAAGATTGTTGAATGTTTCTACTCGTTTATTATATAAGTTTGCATAACTACCAGATTTATAGGTGGGCAGACATAATATTATATTTGTGTGTTGTACCTCTTGTAATGTGTTTCGGATATTTACTACTAATTTATAATAATCGTTAGTTTCTTTGAAATCTGAGTCACCTATAAATATGACACAGTAGTCATTAGAATTAAAATAGCTTAATTTATTTTTTATACTTTTCAGAATTTGACTTATACTAGCTCCCGGAGTGATATAATGACATATATCAGAGTGGTCAATAATGTTTCTGGTGTACTGTAGAATTTTGTTTCTTGAATTACTACTCATAATGCATAATTTTCTTTTCATTTGTTGATTATCATTTCTTTTAAAATTGTCGGTTTTATAATTTGTATCTGTTTCCTGCTGCTTATTGCCGTTTTCTAATATGTTATTGTAATTTGTCCCCGTTTGTTGGTCCACTATGTTTGCAAAATTTGTTGGTTTTAATAAACTTAAGTTTTGGCCTTTCTCGAGCTCGTTACCTTGATCAGTGATAGAATTATCCATGTTGGAAAACTCCAGAACTCTTTTTTTCAGTGAGTTACGTTGGATATTCGTAGACACTTTCTTAGTGGAAGAACAAATTTGTGTTAAGCTTTTATTCAATGCTTCTAATTTAGTTATTCGATTTTTTAGGGCATAATTTTCAGAGAGCAGATTTTTTATTTCTTCGTCAGCAGATTCTAGTTCTAATTGTAGTTTGTAATTCTTTTCCCTTAATTCCTTCGATTTTTCCCGTTCATTGGGTTGTATTTCCGGACAACTTCGGTTGAGCTTAGCAGTAACAGCTGACAGATTCGAAGATTCATCATCAGACAGTGAATCAAATGAGTTACTTGTTGGAATGTTTATTCTGTATTTCCGGTTTGTAACAAAGCACGGCGTTTCAACAGCTGTCTTCTCATCACTGATATATTCAATTCGTTCCCAACAGTTACTACATTTCCATGATTGTTTCTTACTTGGACTCATCAAATAAAATCTAGGTGATGTAACGTTCGCACATGGTAAATGGTAATGTCTCCCACACACCAGGCATGCCATGAACCTACGATCTTCAATGTTGTCATTGCATTTCCCGCAGTTTGCCATAGTGGTATTAAGTTAATCTCCCTCTAGCGGAAATCTGGCGTCGATATACGTATTTATTTTTAAAAATTCACAAGTTTGATAACGAAGTTTGATAACGAACCGGTGCTGCCCTCTCGCGAAATATCGTACAAACATGGATTATATTTGCAGTATTACTGAGAATTCCAGCTACTTCTCACTAGATGGCGCTACAATTTTTTTTTTTACCTTTCTTGGGTTTGAACCCCCGATCTACAAACTTGTCGACAAACGAGTTATATAGATACACCATTAAGCCACCGGGTACATGACGTCACAGTTGCAAATATGAGTGCCTTACTTTCTTACGATCATATGGTGTATTGCTTAAAGTCCAAAGTTCAATATGCTAATCAAACAATATCACAACTATAACGGTTTTTATTTGTCACAATATTTAAAAATATGAAGTTTTTCCGCAGTATATTTAATGTCACTTTTTTGCATCTAATTCCGCAACGTTGTGTTCAGGTTTTGCACTAGTTTGTTCACTTACTTGGTGTTTTTTTATGACGGTTCTGGCACTGAAGTGTCCACTCGATTTATATTCACTATTTATAAACAGTTTTTAGCACAAACATTAATTGTCCATATTTGTAGATGGAATTAACGTTTTTTACACTTTTCACAATAAACTGGTCACTATTACTATTTTTCAAAATTTTGGCGATAAATCTTATGTTTACACCTAGTGGCGCCCTCTGGTGTCTGGTACTAGATCGAACGCTCTGGACAAGTCGAGGTAGCACGCGAAAACCGGTGTTCTTCCAGCTGTATAGTACTGGACAGTGCGCTTCAGGCACATGATGGCACTCTCCGTAGACAATCCAGACCTGAAGCCAAACTGCGCGTCATTCAAACGGAGGTGCCCCTTCAAATAACCATCCAGCACACTGTCCAGCACCTTGGCTACAATGGTTGCTAATGAAATCGGCCTATAGTTGGACAGCTCAGAAAAATCACCGGTCTTATTCTTCACAATTGGGACCACAACAGTACGCATGAGATCGTCCGGTAAGTAACAGTGGCCCATACACAGGGTGTAAAACATTGAAAGAACCCTGGGCAAGTGAACACCTGCATGCAGCAGATGTTCAATGCTGAGACCATCGTGCCCCGGTGACTTACCCCTAACCATGGTTTTTATTATAGAAGCCACCTGCTTTGCAGTTATAGTTAAGGTAGTCTCAGATATGGCCCCAGCATTAAACACCCGCGCAGAAGGTCCCAATGGGGAAACCACTTTGAAATGACTCTGGAAGAGGTCGGCTATATCCTTAGGGTCTTGAACACCCGCGATAGTCGCGGGAGCACTCGTTTTGTGATTTAATTTATTTACAGCTTTCCAAAAGGGTCCAAAGCTTTTACTGCAATGATGTTGGGCAATTATATCATTCTTAATTTGCTGTTCGTGGTTTTGACACCATTTTAATTTAGCCTTAAACTGCTTCCTAGATTGGTACATCTCATCATAAAAATAACCCGATGAAGGTTTACCGTGAAGAACCCAGTCTTGGAAACATAACCTAGCTCTCCCATGAGCCCCACTGACATATCGGTTCCACCCCGTCACATAGTGCTTCTTTTTATTATTTCTTACATGAAAACAGGTCACCGCAGCCTCCGTTAAGATACCAATAATATCCTGATACAACCGTTGCAAAACTTGAAAATGATCATTATTGTTGCATATTTTATTACAACATTTACTAAGCTCATGAGGGAAATCTATTAGCTTTAACCTAGAGTTACAAAAATCGTGGTACTTTGATATCTGAGCAGAGTCACGGTCACACGGTCACGTTAATGCAGAATCAGGAATGGTACAATATTATGTGAGATTTTTCACAAGAACATAGTCATTTAATTAATTTTTCGTCATAACACCCTACCAGCCTAATCAGTTTCGAAACAAAATTAAATTTAAACTTTTAAATGAATTAATTGCTAAGCGCTAGGTAACGGCGCATCAATCTTTTTCCCACGTTGTATTCGTAATAAGGGAGTGAGATAGTTACTAGGCTTTTCGGCTGATCCCTCCTTATTGTTGTTGCAGGAATCTTGTTTAGAATCAAAAATTACCTCTTTGTCAATAACTAGGTCAAAAATAAAAGTCAAAAAAATATTGTTATGTATAGTGATGAAATGGGCAAAAATATAGGTTTGCAACTTAACCACCTAGGAATAAAATTAACAAATATTTGCATGCCAGGTGCAACATACTGTAAAATATTAGATAGTGTTTTGTCAACTAAATTTGACAAAGACACTTCATTAATAATTTTAATTGGCAGAAGAGGAAAATGTAACAAAAAAGATTTAATTCAATATTTTTCACAATTAAATAATTTAATTAATATAAAAGAAATCATTTTGTTAGCTTTTCCCTTCAGCAATAGCCTCACAACAAGTGAAAATAATTTGAGGCATAACTTAAATAGAACTTTACACAGCTTGACATTTCATTATAGTAAATTTCATTTTATGGATACTAAAATAGAATAGAGAATATAATAGAAAAACATTTATTCATCGGTACATACAACACAATAACCAAAAATAGAAACACAATTACAAAAACAAGCAAAATAAAATACAGGAGGAAAATGTGAAAACCTAAAATTAAATAATAAGCTTATATATACAATGTGTTGTATGCAACCATGAAAAGGCCACGACTCAGCTTAATGCCAGTCAGGAGACTGGCGCTGTTCTTCCGTCGTATCCTTGCATTCACGCATTCGACGCATTCATGCGTCGACCGGGTCCCAAAATTAAATTCTACACAAGTAAATAAATGAGATTAAATGAATTATGTCACTACTAACATAGATTATAATATATATTAGAATAAATAAGTGCAGTAAGAAATTACAAAGATAGCTAACCTTTATTGAGAATTTTCA